CTGGACGGCAGAGTCTGACGTGTACTGTACAGAGTCTGATACTGTATATACAGGGTGTCCCAAAAATGTCTCGCAATCCGAAAGTGGCGGATTGCTCAGGCCATTTGAAACAACTTTTTCCTTTACAAAAATGTTCTCCGAGGCACCGTTAACGAGTTATCAACGAAAAACAGTGACCAATAAGAATCGAGTACGGCTGACGCGAGGCGGCCCAGCCAACCAGCGCGCGAAGCCCGGTTCCGCTCGTTGGCTCGGTCGCCTCGCGCCAGCCGAGCTCGCCTCTCATTGGTCACTGTTTTTCGTTAATAACTCGTTAACGGTGGCTCGGAGAACATTTTTGTAAAGGAAGAAGTTGCTTCAAATGATCCGAGGAACCCGCCATTTCCGGATTGCGAGACATTTTTGGGACACCCTATAGACTGTTGTAAATCGATGCGAAGACAAAAGAAGTGTGAAACAATGCATACGAAGACGATTATTTGATTCAAACGATGAGCGAGTGAGCTACTAGAGCAAGCCACTGTAGTGGCGGGTCGTGCCTAAAAGGTTAATACTGAGCTAAACGATTTGAATATTTTTTAAACGATAGAGGGACTCGTCTACTAGTCGATGACTGAAATGCTTTTCTCTTAATTTCCTTCGCTTGACGCGTTAACGCGTCGATCGCATGCCGATAAGATTTAGCGCGATTGTCCATGTAGAATCTGGAGGGAGATGAGCCTGAACGACAGCCTGTCCGACCTGGACAGAGCGAATCTGGCGGTTTGGGACTACCCGGTCAGCGACAAATACACGAAGATGTTGCAAGCGATGGAGGAAGCCGGTTTCCCGGCCTCCGTAGAGGAGGCATTGCAGCGCGTTCGACGTCAGAATTCGAACAACGAGTTCGCTTACATAGAGGACTCGACGATCATTAAGTACCTCACCATGACGAACTGCGATCTGATCCAAGTGGGCGAGGATTTCTCGAGGAAACCGTTCGCGATCGCTGTTCAGCAGGGATCGCCGTTGAAAGATCAGTTCAACAACGCGTACGTAAATAGTTCTCGATACAGCCGATACACCACCAGTGGTGCAACCTCGGAACGCAAACAGTCGCTCGGGGATTTGCTCGATTTTTCCGTCGAGGCATTCGACGATTCACGGTTCCTCGCGTTTTCTACATCCTCGGGCTTTCCGAAAGCTGGCCCTATCGGTTTCCGCCTCGGCGAGCTTTCGAATGCCTGTACGCGGCTCCGCCGAAAAGCAGTTTTTTTCACCAACGACGAATCAACGTTCGTTAACCGTTCGACTAAAATTCCATTCGAAAGCGACCGCGTGATAGCCCGACACGGTCCGTCGAACAGCTTACGACCGCCGCGATCGCGACGCGATCCAAACGTCGCGTCCGACGGACCTAAAACGATAGACCCTTCGCGAATAAATCACGGCACGAGAATATCCGTCGCTTTCACCGACACTTTTTCGTACGCCTCCAACCTCGAGACGAACACCTTTTTGGAACGCAATGACTTTTCTCAGACCGGACTGGAAGACTTGAATTTTTTTAGACCACAGAGATTACGACTGAAATTACGGCTTTTTGTTTAATTTTATTCTTACTCGGATCGACGAGAAAAGTAATAAACTCTCTTCTTGAAGTTTTTCATCCGAGCCTGTAATGAAAATTTAATAAAATTTAATAACTCGTTAACGGTGCCTCGGAGAAAATTTTTGTAAAGAAAAAAGTTGCTTCGAATGACCCGAGGAACCCGCCACTTTCGGATTGAGAGACATTTTTGGGACACCCTGTATATTGATTATCAACAACTCAAATAATCGCATCTCCTCTTCCCAAATCGTTAATTACGAAGAATTGACTGTGTTCGGCACACGAGTATGCACTTATTCGACGCAACAAATGCTAATCTTCGGCCGTCTATTCGTTTCAGGATTCTGCAACTGCTGAACAAGAGGAAGCTGGAGAAGCTGAAGGACAAGTGGTGGAAGAAGAACCCGGCGAGGAAGGACTGCGACGCGGAGAACAGCCAAAGCGACGGGATTAGCATCCACAATATCGGAGGCGTGTTCGTGGTCATATTTCTCGGGATTATCTTCGCCTGCCTAACGCTGATCTTCGAATACTGGTACTATCGACGCCGCGCGAAGATCACTAAGATCGATCGGATCAGCCCGCCCAAGGGCAAAGTCACGAAAGTGAAACCGCTTAGGTTCCAATTACAGCCTCCGCCCGCGCACGGCTTCCAGGCCGCGCAGTTCCGAGCCAGATTCTAAAGAGATCTCTATACCGTTTCGCAAAACAATGTACATAACTTTGTATTTCCCTGAGTTCGCCAACTTCCGGAACTATGATTATTGGATAAAAAAATATTGAATAAAATGGGCGAAACGATCGTGTTACGAAGATGAGAATTGTAATGGACACATTTTGGGATGATACGGTGGATCGATTGCGCATCGTTTTTGAAACTTCTTGTTGGCAGAAGTTTCGTTTCGTTGGCAAAATTGTCTCCGATTTTCTCGAGTTTATTAGACCCGACAGCATCGAAACTATCTCTACCGACAGAACGACTGACGCTCAGATTGTGCAGAAAAATGGACAATTTGGGAAGAGGAGATACGATTGTTTGAGCTTCGCGGTTCATTTTTATAGTTACGAATTGTCAACAATTGTAAAAGCGAGACTCTAATAAATCGCATTCCCTCTTCACAAATTGTCCATTTTTGTTTATAAGCTGAGGGACAATTCGGGAGGATTTACTGCACTGGCAATTTCTCCCTAATTCGCGCTGAGATTATACAAGTTTAATTCAATAAAAATTAATACAGTAATGTCTCTCTAATTGATTGCCCAGATTGTCCACAAAACTGGACAATTTGGGAAGAGGAGATGCGATTATTCGAGCCTTTTGGCTCGTTTTTATAGTTATAAATTGTCAATAATTGTAAAAATGAGCCGCAAGGCTCGGATAATCGTATCTCCTCTTCCCAAATTGTCCATTTTTGTGGACAATCTGAGCGTCAATTAAAGAGACATTACTGTATTATGATCGCTATAATGAACGTCGATGTTTCGCTCTATCGCCTTCCTCAAGATTAAACTGTGCAATCTCGAAATTTGGAGAGGAAATCGGATCTAATAGAATTTCGACTATTTTTAGAGGATTTCTGCCGATAAGAATGGCGGATCGATGATCTCTATAAGCGTCTATGTTCCAGTAGCTCTATTCTCGTAAAAAATTGTTGCACCCTTAAAGAGATTTTCCGGAGTTTATTGGAATTACAGGCCAGGAACCATTCTGGACGGATTTTCATGGGCTCTGGAGTGTGAGAATGAGACGGAAGACATAATTTGGGTGAAACAACACATCGACGAAGAGTCAGCGTTTGCAATGCCTTTATTTGGTTACTCCCTTCGCGTACATGATTTCGCGCAGAGAACACATACTCCGATTTGTTCTTTCTATCCTCTGGCTTTCGTTCCGTCGCTTTGTTGGACACGGTCCGTTCGTCGTTTCCGTGAACGACCCCTGTTTGAAACGTGACTCCGTCGTCAACATCCTCGCAACACGCCTTAGCATACATATTCATCCTGGTTCTTTTTATTTCTCGTTTGAAAGGCATTTTTCGTTCTCTAATAACGTTCCTCGTTCACGCCCCCATCCCGAGGCGAGGGCGTGCGCCACTTTCTCATTCTCTCTCTCTCTCTCTCCCCCTCTCCGGACTACACGTTTCCCCCCTCACTCTCCCTTTTTTATTTATTTAGTTTTTGTTCTTTTAATTTTATGTTTTTTTCGTTATAATTCCGTTTTTCCTTTTTCTTCACGTGTACGTTTCTCTTTCTCCCTCGTTCTCTCGCTCGCTCTCTTTCTCTCTCTCTCTCTCGCTCGCTCGCAATCTCATTCTCTCTTTCAGTTATCCGATATATTTCCTCTGAGGGAGCACAGGAAAAGCATTGGATTACTGGGGACCGTTGATTTCCTTCGAAACACGGGATTCCGATGGACAAGGGGGTGGAAATGGGGGGGATGGTTAGGGCGTTAAATCTTCTAGGGAGAGTTAAATTATAATTAGGGGGAAGATACGATTAAGATAATCCATTAATAATTACGAAAAAAAAACAACAAGAAAATAGAACAGTACTTCGACGATCGCTTCTTTTTTTTTTACGGTTCAATTATCGTGCGGCACTTTATCGTCGTTTTTAAATTAGTTTCTACTTTTCTCTGCTTCATCCGTTCTCCGTTCTCTCGTAAGTACATACTCTGTGTCCTCGAATCTGCTCTCGCTCGCTCTCCGTTAGTTTCATTTTCCCGAGAGGAGTTTTTGTTTTTTCTTTCTTTTTTTTTCCTTAGCTACCGACGTTTCCTCCCTCTCCGCGTTCTCCTCTCGTTTCTTGTTCCATTAGAAATTTGCAACGCGTCCAATGAGACTCGCACGGAGCGTCTGCGCGCGTCGGATGAGAAACAGAAAAAAGGAAAACTCTCTGCTCGTTTTCTCTCTACTACACATTTCTATCAGAAAAATCAGCGCACTAATTTTTTTTGCGTTTGTCTCTTTTTCTTTCGCCGTTTTCTCTCTCTTTCTTTCTTTCTCTCTCTCTCTCTCTCTCACTCGCTCCCTTTCACTCATGCTCTCTAGCTCTCAGTTTTTCTCTCGCGCGTTCACTCGCTCCCCCTCGAAAGTTCACGTAAAAGTATTCAACAAGCTACAAAAAAAACGAAATCTTGTGGACTACGTTCTCTCGATACAATTCACCTTTTTTTTTCGTTTTGAATTTTCTCTTTCGTCGGCGGGCGTGCGGCACACACGCGCTCGCGCACTCGCTCCATTCGTGTGATTTTTTTTAATTTTTTGTTTAAACACTGGCGTAACATATACACTGTACGTTTTTTTTTATACTTTGTTCCATTTCATTTTTTTTTCCTTTACTTGTCAAAGTGTTAATGATAATTATCTAAATGAACGTTTAATATTTCCCTCTTTTCCTCTCGTCTCGCTATCTCGTTTATTTATTTATGTTTTTTTTTCGTATTCTTTCCACTCGCTTGTTTCGCTCGACGACAACCGGGGGATACTTCTTTATTTTTTTTTGTCGTTTATTTATTTATTATTACTATTATTTATTATTTATTATTTTATTTATTATTAATAGCGCCGTCTTGGATACATGCATAACAAATTCCACATGCCAAGAGGCCCCCCCCTCTGTGTCGTGTTCACGTTCTAAACGGTTTGTCCGTCTCTCTTCGCCATCTTTTTTTTTCGGGGAAAAAAAACATGTACATAGCTAAACCTCGGATATTTCCAGTCGTCGTTTCAGTTATATTCTTTCAACGTTATTATTCTCGTTTGTTCGCTGTACTCTGTTTACGATCTTTCTTTTTTTTTAGCTCGTGTCATTAGTACGTGAGTGTGTGTGTGTTATTAGTTCTTTCGTTTTTATATTAAGCAGCTCGTTATCTATCCGGCTCATAAGGTCAACGGACGCAAAGTCGTCAGAGGCTGGCATCCGAAGCTGCTACTGTGCCTTCTACCGAAAAAAACACATTAAACACGTTAAACGATTTCGTTGTAATCACGGCTCCTGGCTAAGTACTCGGACCGTATACGCGCTACAAACGCTATAATGCTATTATAAATCGCTAAGTCGCGATATCCCGAGGAAACCGGACGTCTCGCAGTTCATCGCAAAGCCAATGAAGAATCTCTTCTACGCTCGTTATATGCGGTCTTCGGAGGACGATACTTTTAATTTCGCAACGTGTCGCTACATGCCACGCTATCGATTACGCATACGTATACATATACATATATGTTACGTACGTGTACACAGGGTGTCCGAACGTTCATGATCCAACCAGGAACGATTCCCCGCGAAGGAGCAAGTTAGAAATACAGAACGAACCGTCGCGATCCGTCGAGCGAGTAAAACACGATGGTCGGCGACGGTAGTACCAATTTAGTAAAAATCGATTAATTTAACGCTGTATTTTTATCTTACTTTTTCACCACCTCCCTTGATCGTGCCATAAACATCCGAGACATCCTGTTCCATACTTCTCGTCCTTCATGTTACAATAGAAGCATGAACTTCAAGATCGGAAGTACTCCGTGAAAAGAAAATCGATTTGTTTCTCGGCCGTCTAAAAATTGACGCGAACAAACGTCGAACGAAAACTCAATCTTTCGTTTCTGCTCGAGCACGAAAATCAATTTACTGTTCAAGGTCGCAGATCGTGTCCCCGCTTTGTCCACCGTGTCGTCGAATTTTCTCTATCGCCGGCGGAACGCGCGTCGGTTATCTTCCAATCTCGTAACCGAAACGTTACGGTCAGCACGACGATTGCTCGAGAACATCGCGTAAACGACCTTGAAGAGTCACTCGAACTCGGTTCCTGGCGAACCAAAAGTGCCCGCTTCCGAACCTTCGCGTATTAAACCTAAACGTTAACGCCGTTTACCCGGCGAGCCGGTAAACACCGCTGAGATTCACGCTTTTACTGTGACACACAACGGCAAACATAACAAAAAAATAGGGGAAAAAAATAGAAGCATACTTTCGAAATTTCTACGACGTCCTAACGATTAACAAACATAAATTTTGCTTCGGTTCCAATTGGCCAATCGGTCTTTGGTCTAGTAAATACGCTCCGTATTTGCGACGAGCGTTGCTCCCTCTCGAGTTCGCTCGAGGGAGCAACGTTTAAACGATCGTGAACCTAAAAACGCATAGTTTCCCAACCGCTCCAAATTCACAGCCCTTTTTTTCTTTTTCGAATTTTCAAGTCCGGCGATCAACGCTCTACCTACCGGGAGCCAATTGAAGCTAGCTTCTCACATTACTCGAGACCAATCGATTAAAAAAGCTTAGATCAGTTATCTTTCGAGAACCGCTCGGTAACTGCTGGTAGGTAAAGGGTTACGTAGATAAAGAGAAACTGAAAAATTTGAACGCCCGTGTCCATACTTTTGCATTGAGAAACTATGGTTCCCGCGGAAAAATGGGAACACGGCGCGGTCCAGAGCGTGTACAAATTAAAGAAAGAATAAAATAAAATGGTAGAAAAAAAAGAAAGAACAAAAGAAAACATAGGAAGCTGCGAAGAACCGTGTATAGTTCTCTTTTAGTTGATTACCTTTTCCTATCATTGTGCAGAGGTACGTTAGATCGTACCCAGCCCAGTTGACCCAATGCATAGCAATCTTTCTCGACTTTCTCCTCTTCGCGAATAACAGTATCTTCCACTCCGACCGGAGTATAATGGAAATGATCCTGTTCGGAGAGAATTCTGCGTTTGACCGGAGATCGAATGGGCTCGGTTTGAACGCACTTGTCACACTGACGCACCCTGAATTTCAACGTTAGATTCGACGATACCGGAGGAATCGGCGAGTCGCCCTCTCGGTACTCCATGTACGGGCTCTCACCGCCGGGAAGGTACAACAAGTTTCCTGAATCGGAACGGCGGTACGCGACTCGCTCTAGGGTATTGTTTACAGGAAACGTAGTCCCATCGGCCCACTGACCGTCATCCTTTATCGGACGAAAGTGTGTGCGAGCGGAAGTGAGCAAGTCCTCGTCCGGCTCTGGCAGGCTGTTGTTCACCTTCAGATTTGAACGAGATTCTTTGCGTGTTCCTATGGGTGTTTTACGGGGTGCGACTGGAAAGAAGCAGCTACCTGTCTGAGGACTGCGGCCTAGGGCAGTCAAATTGCTGCCGAGCCCTTTCCAGTACCAAGACCCATCCATAGCTGAGTCGGACCAGTTTACGTTACTCTCTGAAATGTTAGAATATCACAGTATGTTTACTCTCGACACGGTCCACACGTCGGTGCAATGGTCAGCGACTAAACTTAAGAACACACGATAAACGAAAACGATAATGAAAGAGAAACATTCGTAGCACGACACAGATATAGCGATCTACGTCTAAACTTAGTGCGCATACCATTTACTTACATTTCCGAACGATCTCCTATCCGTTAGATATATACTTAAGTCAATATTACTATATCGTGATGCTCATAGATTGTGGAAACTGGTCCGGGATACCAACCTGATTTATTCTTGTTACTACATTCGTCCGCGTAATCCTCGATGCTGATCAAATCGATGTCCCATGGAATGAGCGGCGAGTCGTCAACAATTGATTCCTGGTACGGTGTGTCAGTAGCGTAACCATTGTCCGAGGTGGATAAAGTAAAGATTGTCTCGGTAGTGTCTGTCGGCCAAAGAGGTCCTGAAGGAATAGAGAGAGTGGGAGCCGCCCATATAGAAGCCGTGTCTTGTGCATTGCCTGGTCCTGAATCCCATAGTGCTTCCAAGCTCTCGTTAAACTTCGCTTGCAACTGTGCCAATCTCAATTGATCCAGCTCTAATTCTCGCTCTTTTTCACGTTCGCGCTCCATTGATTTGACAAATCCGAAGCTATCTTTTTCCTCTGATCTCCGTGACTCGATACTCTAAATCAGAACGCACGATTGTCATCGTTTGTTTTTTTACCCGCTACACATATACGGAAGACACGAAACAAATACAAAATCTACTCTATAAACACTTACAATGGACATTTTAGTTTTCTTATTGCGAGATTTATTATTGTTCTTGTTATTATTATAGCTAACTCCGTTGATTTTATTGTTACTGTTGTTGTTGTTGTTTGTGGTAATATTGTTGTTGTTGTTGTTGTTTCCTAAATTTCTCTCCTTTCTCTGAGAGACTTTCTTTAGAGTTGCCGGTTGCAAAGCAGGAAATGCTGCATAGTATCTAAGAGCCCTATCGCGAGGTGTTAGCGACTCTAAGCTTGTCTTGTTTTCGTCATCAGATTTCTTGGATTCGTCCTCTTTCTCGCTTGAGCCGCCACCTTCCAAATCTCGTAGTTTCATACATAATTCATCGACCAGTGTTTCAACTCCACATTTCTGTAATTGACATCGAATCGATTAGAACAACGGTAGATCTTTGTAGAAAGTTGCACACGAAAACGGCGACAAAGGTGGTTAATTGTGCTCACATTATCGGCAGCACTTGTTAGACATTGCACAACAGCACGTCTCTGTTCTCTGTCTCCCTGCGTTGGCAGCTTGGCTTTGGGTCGGGCACGTATGCGACGTCCTCCGTTCCTCCCTGTACCCACAGCTTCTTCTGGAGGACTTAGGGCCGAGTCGGGGCGGCGCAGCAGGCTGAGCACAAACCGCGAGTACGCAATTGGGTCTATTCCCAATTCGTCCAGGCGCGTCTCTAGCCACTGACGCAACTCCTCCTCGGCCCTTGTGCCGAACACTTCACCTCCTCCAGGGGACGCCGCTATCCCGACCAGATGCAGTGCCGGGTTCCTCATTTCCTCTTATTAAAGTTCCTCCTAGACCCAAAAACTTTCACAGACTCTACTACCTCCAGGGTGATCATCTTCTCTCCTAAAAAGGACAAATCGATTCAAATACGATTGAAAATTATCGATCATCGATTAGGAAAAGCAAGAACCGGACTTACCTATTTATATAATAGAGTTACTGTATTATATTATTGTCCTTTAATGTTTCAATTTTACGGAATCCACCACCTTGACATTTATTTACTTGATAAATGTTATATTATTTTCTTCCTCTTGGTTACTTGTAATTTCTTGAGTTTAATTACATAGCCCACAATTAGTGGTAGTATTCCTTGAAATTTTGGTTACGTCGATTAAAAATTATTTGGTTCTTGTGCACAGGTGGTGGATATTTTGTAGTAATGAGGCTGGCAGGTCTTAGCGAAGGATAACAAGTTTAGTTTCCTTCCCATTTTGACGCTGAAATTCCAGAATTTTTTCCGATTATAAAATAGTACAATAAAGATATCACGAATACAGAAAAAAAACACTCTGAAAAACAACTTGAAAATCTAAAATTCATAAACAAATTAATCGTGTAAAACTTTTATTTGTTGTTATGCAACGATACACGGATATTAGTCGCAATTCGTTAATAACAATGTATTAGTAGACGCAAAGTGAAAGTTGAAGACATAAACAAAACATAGTACGGATAAACAAAGCTAGAAGTGAATTATTAATTCCTTAAATGGTTGCATTTAGTATCTGATGATAACATCGGATGTTGTCAAATACGCACAGCAGTGGTATGTAAATGTACAGCGAAATGAGTCATAGATATTTCAGCTGACTACTTAGGAATTGACTTGTGACTAATGTCATTTTCAGATAACACGTTGGGTTAATCGCGAACCTATCTTTATTCATCGGGGTAACATTAAACCGCCGTGTTACGAAACGTCATCGAAAATGAGGCTTCGTGACAACGGTGTTTCATCATAGATGCAAAATCAATTTTGCAATTCAAAATCGAATTCTGCCCTTCGGGAGGCGCGAAAAGTTCGATCGACCTGTGCGTTTCGCGATTTTCGAACGTCCGCGAACGTCAAGCGACACAGCGCGTGTTCGCGGAGGCTCGGAGTCGGTCGTAAATTTTTTGCGCACAATATAAGACGCAGTTGGAAACGTGCGTTTACGTTAGAGGCTGTTAAGTCACGTTGCACGAATCGTGGATCTAAAAACACATATTCCACGTCGTGGCTTGGGAGACGAGTTTTAGGGGCATCGCATTCAATTACGTTAGGACAAGATCGGCAGTGTGAAACGTTCGTGCACCGTTATCAAACGCTGTCAAAGCCGCTTATCGGCAGATTATATACGCGGCCGCGGAAACGATCAAACGCGAAGGGCACCAAAAGTTTTGTGGTTTTTCGCGAGGATCATCGGCCAGCTTTGACCGCTGGGTAGATGTCTCTCGGGCTGGTGCACGAAAACAAACTGCAATTTCGAACGCATTCTGCCGCACCAAGGCTGTCTATCTATATGGATTGTTGGCAGACGCATCGCTCTCGAGCAATGCAAATAACCTTGCTCGATTGCGCTATGCGTTTCGTCTGAGTCATAAGCATTCGCGTCGAAAACGTCTGATCGTGTGACGTTACGAAACAGAAACAAGCCGAGACTCGCACGGGTTGCGGGCTGTCAGCACGCGACATCGAAGGCAATCGCGTTTCTCGGCCGAATAAACGAAATTATTCGAATTTTGACGTACCTGCATGCCTCGAGAGATGATTTTCACCCCGGCCTCTTCTACACACCCCACTCACAGAAAAACATGGCGGCTACTGAAGCTTTGGTGCCCCTCCCCCTTTCGTTGCTGCCAATTGGTCGGTTCTTGCACAAGATTCGAGATGCGTTCCTAAAATCGTTCCTCTCAACACCGCTCTGTGCCATAGACTAAATATCCTGTTAGAAAAAACATTAGAATTTAGGAATGAAATGTTTCAAACGACTTGTGATATTAATTTTAATCCATTCTTTGCGTAATTGGCTACGCTGGATGCTTTTATAATTTTCGAGGAATAAATTCATCGCATCGCGAGAAGAGAGCATTTCAAGGTTATCAAGTATCCCATCTTCTCGGTGTCTTTACCGTTCATGTTCACTGTTTACTCTACTTTCGCGCTCAGTTGGTTATAGAAAAAATCAGAAAATCGCACTTCTTTGCGAGGTATTCATAATTTTGGCGATGAAAATGAAGCAAAAATTCGCATTATCTCCAATTTTATTTTATTAATATCTTCTCGTCGCATCTACTTCGCTTTCTTTCATATCCACTTGTTTTTGTAACTTTTTTTTTTTCTTGTGCTCTGTTGTCCTCTCCAATGTGTTCTAAGTCTCGTAGTTTTTCTAGCTAGAGTAGAAGCTATGATTTCTACAGTATTAAGAACAGTTCGAATGTATATAGTGAATTAATAATATTAATATATTAATAATAATTCAATTCTGTAATATATAACAGTATTCGAATCCATGTCAGAAGTACTAGAATCAATGTTATCCAGTTGCCATGCCATTGATCCTTCATTTAGTATTTTATTGTGATTAGTGACTTTTCTTTCCTGATTTTTAACCAGGAAAACAACAATTATCCAGGCACTGACATGTGTTACTTGCAGCGAATTTCCTCCCGATTCAGAACATGGACAATTTTCTATACAAGATCTGGCTTGGATAATGACATCTTCGGTAAAATTGTTTGTTATTATGTTATATACTTAATTACTGTTAATTTCATGAGCATTCTTATTTTTGTACAGGTCCAAGCCGTTACAAAAACCAAAATAGTGGATAGAAAAGGCAATATTCCTACAATATATATTAGGGGGACCGGGAAGTTATGTCGTTTGTTTACATTAAATTCAAACAGATAAATATGCGCAGAAACGACATTACTTTCCGGTCCCCCTAATAGAACGCTTATGAAGGGTACAGACATGGTGGTATCAATAAGCAATTGATGTGATAACGTTGAGACAGAACTTACATTAATAATGGTTGTTACAAGACCAATTTTGGATTATGTTATATTTTGCCACCAAGAAAATCTTAGTTGGCCATTTATCGAAGGTAAAAGATTGAAAGAAAAATTTGATAAAATATTTGACAATGCAAATTTGTGTCGCACAACTATTTCTCGACTAGAGAAGATAGAGAAAAGAAAAATGAGAGAGAGATCAGAGAAGACGATTGAAGACTGCAATAGAGAAAGTAGAGGAAATGAAAAACGAATTGGAACCTCTAGCACAGAGGATTAGAAATTTGGGAGAAATAGGTACTGAATATAAAGATTTACAAATTCGAGAAAGTAATTCCTTTAAAACAATAATGAAACTTCTTTCAACGGAGCTTATAAGTTTATAATTGCAATCTCTTTTCAAAAAGAAAGAATGCAGAGTATAACTTATCTCTAAACAGCAAATGGTAAGATTAAAAGAGAATATAAAAGAAGAGTTTGTTAGTTCAGTGGAGGAATTATTGACTGATAGAAATATATGATGATAAACTGGAGAGAAATGTTGTTACGATAAAAGGAAAGTTCTACATTATCTCTCCACTTGTCCTTCAGCTTGTAAACAAAAACGGACAATTTGGTAAGAGGGGATACGATTATTCGAGCCTTGCGCCTCGTTTTTATAGTTGTTGACAATCGGCACAGACGACTATAACGGAATTGAGAACAAGAAGTCTAATTCCGAAAAAAGATTACAGTTGACCGAAGATATCATGAGTGATATGATGTATGGAGATGCATTAATGACGCAATAAAACGTAGACGATTGATAGTTTCTAATTACGTGTGATCAATGTAAGTATATAAATGGTCTTAATTACATAAAGCTTGATACACAAATTACAACAAAAACTTTTTTACATCTAGGTATTAAATCAGAGCGCACCATTGGAGAAGCTCGAAGAGGAAGAAAGGAAGAAGAAAGAAAATTGGGAGACACTGGATATGGATAGAAAAATACGTATGGTAAATATTTATTAATAGAAATATCAATCTAAATGTATTGAATGATTGCAATTTTGGATATAATACTTATTAATTAGATACTGTGAAGTGGGAAGTCAAAATTTGGAGATGAACGATGTAAAGAAAGGACTATCATCTGAAGACAAAAGTAGTGAACATTTAACACAGTTGCGAAATAAAGCAGAGGGAAATTCACGCGGAAAATTATATAATGATAGTTTATGTCAGAGGAAAAGATCTACTGAGGAGACCGAGAACAAGGATCACGCTGAAGCTATAGCTTTGAAGAAGAGATATGTTCTTAATATGTAAGACCTATACTCTACCTCATTCAATGCTTGCGGTTAATTAAAACCAGACGTTACTTATGAAAAAGGTTTGTAACACACAATCTTGTTTTTTAAAGCAACAGAATTAACGTCCAAGTAATCCCTCAAAGCCTAAAATTAAAAAGTAATATTTTATTTCTTTTAGCGCACAGTACTTTTCCCTTTAATTTGTTATATAATTTCGGAAAATTTTATGTCTTTCATAATTACAATAATTTATATACATAAGAAGTGTATGTACTACATTTACATTATTTATAGAGTTCTTGTGAAACTTAAAAAAACAGTATTGCTTTATAATAACCTTAAAAGAATATAAATATGTAATATCCCTATTATTAAACGTTATAAAACAAACATAAATTAATTGTGAGTTTGCATGACAGATGAGGAGCACTTGTCATTCTGAACATCCTCAATTTGATATAGCACTGTGTTAATAACAATCTTATGCTATTGATAAAACAATATAATCAACAATACGGATCGAAGGTTGATTTATCGGATGAAGTAATTCTCCTTTCGTAGTTTCCTAATCGCATTTTTTGATGATACGTTTTATTATGGCTTCTTTGCTGTTTAATTCCAGTTTTTCAAATTAAATAACGATATAATAGTAAAAAAATGTTAACGGATATATTGGCAAATTTTTTAATGGAACGTTGTTACATTGATGAAATAAATTTATTTCTTCTATATATTACAATACATTAATAAGCATTTTCTTTTACCACTATTATTTAACTCTTACACCATAGGTTTTAATTTAAATTGTATATAAAATTATAAAAAGAAGCGAAACATTTGAACAGTACATTATTATAAATTATTAAATAATGTGTACAGTTTGTAGGACCTAAAATAATTTTAGAGACCACATTGAATATTATTACAGTTTTACTAAATAATATTGAATCCTGACCTAACCTGTAATTTTGCGGTTCTAGCGCCTAACATCCGTACCAGGTCCTCCACCATACTAAGCCCATGTGGGACTGCGAGAATAACCGGCAACCGGCTTAGAATTACGAAGCAGGTAGAGAAACTGCTTCTCCTCTGGTTGGTTGACGCTTCACAGCTAAACAGTGTTGCTCTCATATATTAGACAAAAGGAGGGAGTGGCATGCGAGCAAGAGAGTACGATGTCGGCATAACCACAAACGAAACAGGTCACACCGACGACCAATGTCGACCATTTTGTCTCACTTTACTATGTTTGCGATCTCACTCTATTCGCGCAACCGTTTACCTGGTGCTCCATTTGAAACACTTGGTGCGATATTCGACTTGTATTTTTCAACACAAACTGTTTCATTGATTTATTCGATCGATCTGTTCCGAACAAACTATTCCATATATTTATTCGGACAAGCCATTTTATATCTATTTTAAATATTCAAACAAACTATTTCATCTATCTTTTTAGACATTTGAATCATAAATGGGATTTGTTAACATTTTCTTCATGGAATAAACATGCGTCTAATATACAATTTTTCAATTTGTATGCTATGAAGTAACGGTTTCGGGGAAGAAAGTATCCAAACCGGCAATAAAACGCTTAATTATACCTGCGCTTTTTTTAACCTTTTAGGCACGACGCGCCACTATAGTGGTTTGCTCTGTTAGCTCACTCGATCATCGTTTGAACCAAATAATCGTCTTCATATTCATTGTTTCACACTTCTTTTGTCTTGACATCGATTTACAACAGTCTATAGGGTGTCCCAAAAATGTCTCGCAATCCGGAAATAGCGGGTTCCTCGGATCATTTGAAGCAACTTCTTCCTTTACAAAAATGTTCTCCGAGGCACCGTTAACGAGTTATCAACGAAAAACAGTGACCAATAAGAATCGAGTACGGCTGACGCGAGGCGGCCCAGCCAACTAGCGCGCGAAGCCCAGTTCCGCTCATTGGCTCGATCGCCTCGCGCCAGCCGAGCTCGCCTCTCATTGGTCACTGTTTTTCGTTAATAACTCGTTAACGGTGCTTCGGAGAAAATTTTTGTAAAGGAAAAAGTTGCTTCAAATGGCCTGAGGAATGGCTTTTGGGACACCCTGTATATACAGTATCAGACTCTGTACAGAACACATCAGACTCTGCCATCCAGAGAAATAGCCTCGCGCAGAATTCAGCCGTACCTAAAAGGTTAATAGAAAACGCCGGTGGCTCCATCTCGTATTTATCAAACAGCTATACATCTCCGGGCAATACCATTTTTGTAACGTAATCTGTATGACCAAATACCGATCTGCTGAATCCGTAAAGTCAATAATACACATGCACGGTGCTGTTGCTGAAACTGTAAATCTATCAGTATTTATTATTTTATTATTGAGTGGCGTTTTCACAAGCTGAGGTTCGTCTTTCGACCGCCGACGATGCTCAGATAGATATTCTTCAAATTTTACAACATTGATTGCAACGTAAAGTAACATTTGTACGAACCTTAAGTCTAGGATATTGCATTGTGTATTAACCATAAATTTGTAAATAAGTAAATCAACCTCTATAAAGTGTGTACTTTGTGGTGTTAGGACTAGACAGAAGTGTGTTGTGTAGAAATTTGACTTTTCATAGTTTTGATTGTTTAGAATATGTTTAACAAATCATTCATATATATTTTGACTACAAAATGTTCTACACAATTTGTTATCAATTGATGTTTTCACTAATTTGAATGGCAAATTCAAGAAGGTGCTTGGAATTCATAATTTCATCGAAACATATCTAACCAAGAAGTCTACTGTTTCTTACACGATATTCGTCGTAAGTTTTTATTGTCAAGTG